GCTAGTTCATCCTCGCACTATAAGCCTTGACTTGAGCCACTTCCCTATACTGATTAGAGTTTTGCCGATTAAATATTTTTACTTGGAAAGGCTGGTTAATTCCTCGAAGATTATGGATATCCGTTTAAAAATGAAAGAGTTCAATGCTGGCAATTTAAGCCTTTTAAAGGAGTCATTCTTGTCTCTAAGGTAATCTATAATTTTATTTTTGATGAATGCTTTTTTAATTGGTATTTTATTCTTTTGTTTCGCGTCTTACGCTCCAGGTATATTTTTCTTGCGATTTCTCGGAACATTTAAAAACCACAATTTATTAAATATTGGGTTCCATATATGTCTGAATGCTGGATTCTTTGGAAATCTAATATAACTCTTGTCCTAATTGACTGACCTTTTTTCTTATTCCTCATAAAAGTGATCGCACTTGAATGAAGCAAGATAAATAATACTGATAAAAAAAATAGCTTTAGAAGTTTTTTGACCTTGTTTTCACAACTTGGTCATATTGGTAGAAAGACTTAGAGGAACGCACCTAGTCCGAATTCTATTGTATGCATGATAATTTCCAAAGTCGGATCATCGACGTGGTACATTTCCAGACGTTTCGTCGGCATCATAGTCGACATCGTCAGTGAGTCTCGCCAGCCTTGGCAACATACTAAAACTCGTCAAAGGCACAATTGAAGTCGATCCTTTGACAAAATGTGTGCTAAACAGTTGTGGTATCTCTCCTGTCCTGGGCTAATTACCTTTTCTATATCCTGGTATCACACCTTCACTATCACGATTTTTATTTCTTATTTAAATGTAGTATAGTGTACCCTTCTAAGCGGCTCTCATGAGAACCCTCCACACTTTACGCTGGAGTTCTTACCCCGCTGGAAATGTGGATCAGAGTTGGCCATATTGTTACGCAGTCCTCCTTCGATAGGTTTTATCAGAATCTCTCTCTTGCCCCGTAGGATCCGTCTGCTATCTCCTTGGTTAAAGTATTTCACTCGACACCTGCCAACCCCATCTGTGCTACTCGAGGCGTTATTACCCATCCACTACGTGTGAATGACTAATTCGAGGCTAAAGCCTCTGAGTAAGTCTAATGATTAAGCCTTCGCTATATGGACTACATCTCTGGCAAAACCTACTGTCAGCCAACTAGCTCCAGTCTTCGCCTCGTCTATCCTGTTTCTATCCGTAATACCAAGTCTATGACTTGCTATGCCCTAGTCTCTTGTGCGCCAACCCACAAATGCTGTGGTTTAACATTGAACCTTATCAAAGCAAGCAGTACCACAAAATTTGTAGTTTGGCCCATAAGAGACTAGGGCATAGCAAGTCATAGACTTGGTATTACGAATAGAAACAGGATAGACGTGGCTGAGACTGGGGCCAGTTGGCTGACAGTTGGTTTTACCAGAGACGTGGTTCATGCAGCAAAGGCCTGATTATTAAACTTACTCGGAAGCCTTAGGCTTGAATTAGTCTCTCAGACACAGTGTTGGAAATAAAGTCTTGAGTAGTATAGATTGGGTAGCAGAGGCCTAATAAAATATCTGAACCGGAGCGATTGCAGACGGAATATACGGGGCAAGGGGGAGGCTGATAAGACCTATGGAAGGGGGACTGTGTTACAATATGACAGACTATGATAAACATTCCCAGCACAAGGGTGAAGTTGGGGGTGACAACGCCAGCGTGGACTGTGGAGGGTTCTTATGAATGTCGCTTAAAAGGGCACAGCACACTACATGTAAATAAGAAAGGAAAAAATTGTAACACTTAAGTCGTTATAAGAGGATATAGAAAATGTGAATAGCCCAAGGCAGGAGAAGAGATAACACAACTGTAAGTTAATCCTGTCATTTAGTCTTTTTGAATTGTGCAAACATTATGGTATCGCTCCCCGATTCTGCAATCTAATGAAGAAGTGTCATTCGGACCCAGTGAATGAAATTATTTATCACACTTACATGCAGAAATTATAGGAAGGTTACGAGACCGAGAGGCGTAAGCTATTTAAGTTCATAGATCTTAAGTCTAGATTAAGGAAGGATTTTCGTTAGGGTTCTCGCTTTTGAGGATTTTCAAAAACTCCAGAACATGATGGACCAAAAGTCACAGCGGGTCCCGGATCTGATAAATAAGCGACATGACAAGAAATTGCCTAGCTATAGGATAATAAAACAACGCAAGACCAAGCCAACCCGGGTGAATTGAGAGGGTTCTCTATTGAAGGCATCCACTGGTACAGATGACGATAGGACAAAGGTTGTAAACCTATCTTCAATACCTCTTGATTCTGAAACTACGGATCTCTTAAAGAAGGGGTTACATTTTTAACCAGGTAATGAGGGAAATGTTCTTAGTGATATCCTGGTGGAAGTGGTCAACATAAATGTTAAATATTTAGAAGATACAAAGCAGGGGATGGAACCGGAAATAATCCCACGAATCCTGAGATATCAAGAACCGATAAAATGGAGCAGATTTGCTGATATTCGGAAAAAATTACAAATGAATGATCAAATAGTTCTTCAGGCGGATAAGGGTGGGCGGGCGACAGTTGTACTGGACAAGAAACAATACACGGAGAAAATGGGAAGTATCCTTGGCGACCGGAACACTTATCAAATACTAAGGAAGGATCCAACCATGAAGATCAACGGGACACTGAAGAGTATGTTCAAGGAAATGCATAATAATGGGAAAATGGACATATATATGATGAAGTCTTTAATAAAAAATGACGTAAGGCCACCGACAGCCTACGGACTACAGAAGCTACACAAGGAAGGAAATCTGCTAAGACTAATAGTCAACAACAAGCATGGAGCAATGCATAAACTAGCGAAATTAATTTGCTTGAAGCTCAAGAAAGTAAATGACAGACTCTTGAATACCGTCAAGGATTCTTATGAATTTTCTCAAAGGATCCAGAACATTTGGTTTGTGAAATCGGTACTGTTGATGAGTTTTGATGTACAATACATGTACACAAACATCTCAGGTTAGAAGGCGATAAGCATCTTAATGGAGATATTGCAGCAAGAAAAGGCAGAACGGATACGGAAGGAGTTATTAACACGACTTATCAACCTAACAGTTATGACAACATATTTCACATTTAGCGACATCATCTATAAGCAAATATTTGGACTACTAATGGGATCACCACTCACCTCTTTTGGCAAATGTATATATGGACAATTTGGAAAGGGAATTCGAGAAGTCACCACTGCAACCAAGAGTGCTCATTCGATGCTTGGATGACTACTTTGCACTTTGGTCACATGGTAAGAAAAATCCAAATAAAATCCTTAATTTTATTAACGGATTTGACGAAAGAATTAAATTCATAATGGAGATGGAGGAGGATAAACGACTACCCTTTCTGGATGTTAAAGTCATACGCTTCATAAGACACTCATGAGGAAACTATACAGAAAGAATTCGTATGCCGGAATAATTCTTAATTTTCATTCTCATCATAACTACAGACTGAAGATCGGAATAGTGAGGAGTTTGATCATCAGAAGCTTGCGACTAACAGACAAAAAGTTGTGCGATGAGGAGTTAGACAAACTGACACGGATTTGTCTAAGTAATGGATACCCCAGAGAATTTATAGAGAAAA